GTTTCATGCAATGTGATTTAGGCGGAAATAATTCCTGGTCCACAAGAATGCAAAGAGCTAGAGCTATTTTGAGAGGAAGAGCAAGATGGCACTGAAAAAGCAGTCTTTTTAATGAACTCTGCATAACTTGCAGAAAATTTACAGTTATAGTTAGCCCTTATCTGTCCGAAACTTCAGTTGAAGGCTCTATTTGTCATCAGAACTGAGAAAAGAAGACATAAATAAGGTTTTCCTGGATCATAAACATTACTGCTGAGACAATATGAAACTACATTACTGCATTCCTGAGCAGGTTGTTTGAAAATGTGCTAAACGGCTGAAAAGTGATAAGTGTATGGCTGCTAGAAAAGAAACTGAACCTAACTCCATCAGTAAAGATTGTTGGCTAGACAGAGGGGGAATAATTAAGTTCCTAAGTAGACTGTTAATTTGCAGTCAGCAAGCTATTGATCTGAGAACAATAGCCTGACTTCCCAGTCATCTGTTTCAGAACAGGATCCTCCTTGCCTTTAGATTTATTCCAACAGTGCTACTGTGTATGAAAGTTTTTTGGCTAACTTATTATTCCCATAAGAGCTTTTAAAGAACAACCTTCATAGCTGCTGCTTCTTCATGGCAGAACAAATAAGGAGAACCTTGCTTCCCACTGGAGAGCTTCTGATGTACACAAGCCTCACTCAAGCATCTTCCCCATACTTGGTATTAGATAAGTAGGAAGGCTCAAAAACCAACCCATATAACCCATTGGGAGGAGGTCCACGAGCTTGTGGTTATCTCAAGGACTTTAGAAGAGATTTGAGAGGTGGAACAACCTCTAAAAATGCTGTACTTTTCAAACACTAAAGAATAAAGAGAACTATCCCCTCTCCCCCACTTAAAGATGAAGTTTATTAATTCCTCAATATATAACCCAACACTGTCATTCTTAACAACAGCTAAAGGCCTTTGGAAGAGGAAGGAAGAGGGTTCATAAGTGGGTGATATTTCAATTTAAATACCCCATCTCATCCTGGAATGATAAATACCCTCCAGTGTAAAGTCCTGCAAGTCTGAGTACAGCCAAGGAACTGAGCCCCTTGGCTCAAGATGGAGATGCAATCTCCTAGAGGAATATTACCAACTTCAAAGGGATTATGTAATCCAATTAAAAAAAACTGCTAATTGACTCTTAAATAAAATCAAGTAGATTCCCACCCATTTCTTGAAATACATCTGGATGGTCTTCCTGTTTTAAAAGTCATCCGTTTTTCAGCTTTCTGTCCAATTGTGTTCTTTTCCTCCACAAAACTTAACATCAACCAGTGTAAGACATTACAGAGCAAGACAGGTTGGCATCCAATAGATGATACTGCAGTTCTAATTATTACAGAGTTGGAAGCAAATTGCATATCCATCCACTATTTGAACACATGGCAGTAATTTCCTTGCTATACCTCAAAGAGATGGAAATCGTTGTTTAATATATCTAATCCTCTATTTAGAATGCAAGCATAGATAAGAGCCTGCTGGAAGCGAATCATCAGTTATATAGACAATATATATCTATACTGAATACCATCCAGCAGCCTTAGTTTCCCTGGGCAAAGATTTGGATGCTAGGATGGATGATAACAACAAGCCCTCTTTTAAAAATTCAAGCGCTGTTCTGAGGAAGAAATATTAGAGACCCTATTATTACCAAAAGCTGCCAAGATCTGAGATGTAACTTGGCTGGGCTCTGTGTCAAACAACTGGCTGTTTGTTTGCTTGTATATATTGAATGGCTTCCTTGCTGGGGACTTCTCACCTTCTGGTGAAATGGTAGATCATTGTTGACTATTGGCTGGCTTCATGCAATATGATGCATTTACTGGTCAATTTGGAGATGAAGCCACACTTGAAAAGTGACCAGTAACAATGGTATTCAGTAAAAGGTTAGCCAGACCAACCAAACTGTATCCTTCCCAGTTACAGAATTGTAATAATGGAGCACATATCCAGTGGAATACGAACACAACAGCTACCACCGAATGGCTAAAATCTCTACCCATTGTGAAAATCCCTTAGTTTAATTACCACTGAGTCCCATATAGAATGTATAGAGTTAATTAAACAGCTAATGATTTGAATGAAAAATGATCCAGGCATAGAAGAGTAAAAAGGGGACTAACACAGGCTTTAAACCATCTAGTGGTTTTATCATGAATGCAGACAGACCAAAAAGGCATTTAAAGAGGCTTGCCTAGATTATAAACGGCAGCCTACAATGACACCAAGTGGCCCTTCTTAACATCAGATAATCATAGAAATCCCTTTTAAAGAAGGCCAAAGTCACTAGGAAAAACTGTTGGATGTTGATTCAGTTTATCAGAGATTGTCTCTTTCTAGAACTTAACAGCTTCAGGCCTTTGTAATGCACCCTCAAGCATGGTAAATGAAATATCCATATTAGTGTGGGGAGGTGCGTTATAAAGCCCAGTATGCAGACCTAGGATACGCATTACACAGCTTTGTAATAGGGCTAATGGAACTTGAAATAGTTTCAATACAGGTAGTCCTTGAGTTACGACCACTCATTCAGCGACCATTCAAAATTACGATGGTACTGAGCAAGGGGGACTTATAACCAGTCTGCGAAGTTGCAGCTGTGACAGTGTCCCCAGTCACATGATTGTGATTCAGCTGCTTGGCAATCCGCTCACATTTACGACGGTTGCAGCATCCTGTGGGCACATGATCGCCATTTACAACCTTCCCTCCCAGCTTCCCACAAGTAAAGTTAATGGGGAAGCAGCAGGTGTTTCCAAGTTGCTCTGGTAAGTCGCTCCAGCTCCCGCTGCTTCCCCCCCCCCGCGCTTACGTCACAGCAAACCTCTGCCCGCCCACAGTCCACCACAGCACCCCCCCACCTACCCACACTTACACTGTACCACAGCATTCAACCTGCCCGCCAGCCTGCTTCTGAACTGCCTAAGGAAAGGCTCGTCATGACCAGGACTTGCAGCTTCCTGCTGGCTTCCCCGCTGACTTTGCTTGTTGAAGCTGACAGGAAGTCGCAAGTCAAGGTCACATGAGGTCCTCAATCACCCACGATCCTCACCTAACAATGGCAACAGGGACTGCTGGGATTGCTATCACTAAGCAATGCAGTCATGTGACATTGTACTTTACAGCTGCATCACTTAGTGATGGAAATTACAGTCCCAATTACCATTGTTAAGCAAGGACTACCAGGATCAAAAATAGTAAAGCTGATAGACTCTGAAGATGAGCAAGGCTCCAGGCATTGACTGAATTCTACCAGAAGCAATAAAATTGAATCCTAAATGGTGGGCACCAACTGTTTACATCAACAGTTGGTCTTTAAGGGCTATGACGTGGCATTAACTATATCCATATGCAAGAAGACACATACTTTTTCAAAGAACAGGCAATATGGAGTACCAAAGAGGTTAATAGGATGCCACATAAGAACAGGACTTGCATTTCAAGGGGATTTTGGGTGTCAGCCAAATATTTAATATCTCTTACCTTCCCTAGGCTGAGGAAGGACCTTTTTTGGGCACAGCGTAACATGTTACCATCACCACACCTACTGGGCAGGTACTCCAAAATCCCCTTATCCAAATGGATTTGCCTTTGTGGTTTGGAAGAGATTGAAACCATTACCCATGTACTGCTGTATTACAATTTCTACAGGAAGCTAATCAGTTCTCTTATGTCATCTCTTCTGTGACAATATTCAGGGTGAACAGACTCTTATTCCTTAAAGTTTCTACTGTCCAATTCTAATGCTAGCCTTAACAATATTTTGGCTAAATTCTGTATTGCTTTAGTTAAAGTGCACCATCAAATACTGTATCCTTGATTACTGTATTTGTATATGTTTTTTTAAAATGATCATTGATCATAATAAAGACAGGCATATTAAGGCCCTCATTTTCAAGTCTCAAATCTTCTCTCTGAGCCTTCCAGAAAATGTCATTAACTTTTTAATACTAGCTCCCCACTTTCATTTGTCCTTATTTCAGAAATGGTAAGAGCCTTAACATCTTTTTATCACAATAGTCTATTCAAATACAAGATTAGCATAAGGGAAGTTAGTCTTGTACTTTATCAAGCTGGTTTTTTTTTTTTTTTATGTTTAGGTGCAATGTGTGTGGCAAAGAGTTCTATGAAAAAGCTTTGTACAGGAGGCATGTTAAAAAAGCCACTCATGGGAAGAAAGGGAGAGCAAAACAAAATTTGGAGCGTATTTGTGAACACTGTGGGAGAAAATTTACCCAGCTTCGGGAGTACAGAAGGCACATGAACAACCATGAAGGTAAAATGAAACAAGTCTGATTTTAAAAATAGTACCTTTTTGAAAGTCATTCAAGACAAGTCAAGATACTTTATTATAGTCAGAGACCAGCTCTAAAACAAAGTGTGACACAGTAAATAGAAACCACAGTAAAACTCAATAATAAAACTGGTGTAGTAAAGGAACGATGTGTTTTACAAATAATAAAACAAAACTTAGCCACATTAAGAGAAATAAGATCATATTGATTAGATAATAGCAACTAAATAAAAGGGATCTGGGTGGTCTGGAAATCTGAGTAGATGGGGTATTATTAACTGAAATTGGCTATCTTTGTAATAGGAACAATATAAAAGACACAGGTTAGTGTTTCAGGGACCTCTTCACCACAGGGGCAAAATCTTTGTTCAAATAGAATGTCCTGTAGTTTCCCCTTGAGAACAGCTGTTGAGAAGTCAATAAATCTTGCCAGGGTTAGGGCTCTTCTGAACTTGGGAACAGTTATTTAGCTTAGATATCTAGCCAGCTTGAAAACAATGAATGACTGCCCAAGAACACATCTCTGGGTATGACACAAGCATTTAGAGGCTGCCCCTGCATGTTCATATCCCATCATCAGGATTGCATTAAGTGAAAAACCACAGCACTTCAGTTTCTCATGCAATGCCCTATCCCAAAATGAAACAAAGTTGTCACTTAAAATTAGAGGTATTAAGCCCACAGGGAAAAAAAGTAACTTTAACCAATAAGAGAAAATACATGTCCAAAAATGGCTTTCAGTTTTGATTACATCAGCCTTATGGCATAAAACCATATAAGGAACACATCATAGGAACACGTTGTATGTTCCTTAAAAATTTGGATTGCACCCTCTTTAAAGGGGTGAAACATATTCACAAAACTGGTATTTAATTTTAAACTTACAAGCCTTTAAAATTTACAGGAAAAAGCCAGTGGCTCTAAAGCAGATGCACCTGATTTTATCTAAAGCCTGAATTGCCGCAACCTGTTAGGTCATCTGGGGAGAAACTGCTCAGTTCTCCATTTTTAGGAAGTGAAGGGATCTGAAGGCAGGAGGTGCTGCTCTGCAGTGGCAGTGCCAGTCCACTGGAACAGTCTCCCTGCAGAGGTCAAACTGGCCACCTCTTTTCTGTGCCAGCCAACAGGATAGCAACCTGGCTGCTATGCAAACTGAGGCAGAACTTTTAGAAGCAAAGAGTCCCTTTTTTCTATAGCTAAAGATGACAACTGTAACATAGTCAAGGCTTGGCACAGGTTAAGATCAGGAATTCAGAAAACAAACTTCAAAAGGAGAAGGTGAGGGACAAAATGAGGTGGAATCCACAGTGCCATGCATGGCATGACAAGATAAATATAGCAGACCTGAGGCTTGAAAAGTTGCTCTCAGCATTTTCTCTCAGGGAGTGAGGCCAATAAATAAGCCATGTGGAGCCACCACCCAGATACACAGCTGAGGTACATTACTCATTAGAGTCCACTTTCCTGCCAGCCTCCTTGGCCAGTCTATCTGACCTGCAGAACTCAGCCCTCTGTTGTTGGATCTTTAAAACATACCTCTGCTTTGGACTGGGTAGGTGAACCTCAAGTGTCTGAGAGGCTGTCAGGGGGTGCAGGCAGGGAGTCCTGGGGGCTTGCTGGATTTGCTTCAGCCAGAGTGGAGTTAATTGGCTTCAACCCTGCTGAAATTACATCCTCTCAGAACTATTATCCCTAGAAGCCCCTGACTCTATGTCCTCCTCTTCATCAGAAGGCAAGTCCAGCAGGGTCATAACATCCTCCTTGATGGCAATCAAATATGCATTCTAACTAGCTAGAGTGTTTAGTCACCTTTTATTTTTTACCTTATTGTCATTTCTTACTGCTATTTTTATTTGGTTCACTTGGACTTTATGGTTTATTTTAAATTGTTTTGTGTATTCTAAGACTTACTGTGGATGTTTTAAGTATTCTAAGACTTACTGTGCATGTTTCTATATCATGTAAGCCGCTGAGAATCAATTGCAGCAGCATAGATATGCGAGAAATCAATAAATGAGACCCTTATCTCCTGTTACTGATGGGAAGATGTTTGGGTTGTGTGGGTCTGTTTCTTTTTTATTCCTCTCTGGTTTTGTCATTTTTGCCATCTTTACAGGTACTCCTTTATTTTTATTATAGTATTTTTTTTCCTGTTTAATGCCTTTTACTTGTGAACTTCCCAGAGTCATTGGGAGTCAGGCAGTGTATAAATTTAATAAACAAACAAAAAAGATATGGATGTATAAGCATGGTTCTGCTTTGGCCATCCTACATCTTTAGGAAAGGTGAAAGGAAGCTGAAATAGGTGACAGCTGTGCTTGCAGTTGCTCTATGAAAACATGGATGTTGGTGGGACAGATCCCCCCGACATCCTTTGATTTAATTAATCAGAATCTGTGGGGAGCTGAATCTAGTCCTTGGATCAGATTCACTTCTACATCTCTGATTGAAGGCAAAGTTAATTAGCTGATTACGAATTATGTATCTGGACAGATAATACTAACATTGATGTATTTGCAACTTGATTATTGCCTTTTTTATCTCTGTGTAAAGCTAGCTTTTTAAATCATAATCACAGTAGCTTTAAAACAGATGGGAAATAATGTCATTTTTCTGTATTTTAATACTAATAAACATTTATGATAACAAAATATCTTGTGTTAAAAAAACTCAAAGCAGTTTATAGGTCAACTGTCAAGATCTATGAAAAATTACTATTTAAAAAGTCTTATATTACAATGAACTGTTTTTATAGTAATGGTTTGTTCAGCCTTTTAAAAATTAGTAAATGTTTTCTTTCTGTTTCTGTTGAATAGGCGTTAAACCTTTTGAGTGTCTAACTTGTGGTGTTGCTTGGGCTGATGCACGTTCCTTAAAACGTCATGTGAGGTCACACACTGGAGAAAGACCTTATGTGTGTCCAGTATGCAATGAAGCCTACATAGATGCCCGTACCTTAAGAAAGCACATGACTAAATTTCACCGGGATTATGTACCTTGTAAAATCATGCTAGAAAAGGACACTCTTCAGTTTCATAATCAGGGGACTCAAGTTGAACACGCCATCAGTATTTTAACATCTGATGTGCCAGAACAAGAAACAGAGGTTTGTACTGAAGAGATCGAGACTGTAGTAATTACTGAAGAAACACTTGACACTGTTGCAGCTACTGAAGAGTGTACAACAGTTTCTACTCTTTCTGACCAAAGTATCATGCAAGTTGTCAATTATGTATTAGCACAACAACAAGGACAGAAAATGGCAGAGGTTACAGAAGCTATTCAAACTGTAGAAGTAGAGGTAGAGCATGTTTCTGATCAAGACTGAATACACATGTTCATTAATGCAGAACCTTGGTGAAACAGCATGTAATTTTCAAAATATTAACTGTCTGACTAGCCTTTTATAGTAATTTCAGGATTCTCTTCTGAGTTTTGTGAAAAAAGCTATACCTACATCTGTAATTAAAAAGTAAAATTAAAGAAATTCACCGGATAAGTAATGGACTTGCACTAAGACTACTGCACCAGATGTAAATGCTTAGTTTAAAAAAACCTTTAAAATAAAATCATTTATGTGATGGTGATAGTTATGCTGTAATTTTTTATGCAGCTGTTTTTCTTTGTTGAGCATTTAATATACCAAAGACTTGTGCCAATCATTTTAAAATTGTAGCTGTATTTATTCTTAAAATTCAAGGAGGGATATAATCTACAAAAACAATGAATCTGTTATTAATGGAGATAAATATTGTAGTCTGATATACTTATTTAGTCAAAATCTCTGCATAGTTTTCTTTAAGTACAAAAACAATCTGGGTGGCATAGATTTTCTTACAGAATTATAGAATAAAGATTCCATAAGAACTATTTCTATATATTTTAAATTATAACCAAATGCAATTCTGTGATGGTTCAAGCTGCATTAAACGATAGGCAGTTATGGGAGAGAAATTGGGTAGTTTTGCTTTTCAAATTCTGAAAAATATTTCCAAGATTACATGTTTTGAGATTAGCAAAAGTATTTGTATATATCATGTATAAACTGATAAAATTGTTTCAGTTTAGAATGAACTAAGATACAAATGCTGTATATAAGAAAAACAGGATTGCTTTAAACTTACTTCTGTTCACAGTGAAGGTCCTAAGTTTTAGCTTTCGTACTGTCCTGATATTTATATACTGTCTTAAAATTTAAGTAATTATTATGTGGATCAAAGTTTGTGAAAAGCAAACCAAAAAGTTACCTATTAGAGTTAATACACAACTGTGCAAATAGTAATAGCAAATAATAGTATTGGACGTAGTATGTAATGTTTTTTAACAAGCCAGTTAGCCCTTCCTGCCGATAGAGTATCCTCAGTGAGCAGAAAAGGGTGAGTCCATGTGCCCTTAAAAATCTGTTTTGTAAAATTGGTATGCCTCATGGAAAGACTTCACTTGAGAACTGGATTTTTCCAAGGGAAGGTTTCATGGAAATAAACAATTGAGCTGTTTCTCTCAATTTTTACTAGAAAGTTTCCTGTGTATTTTGGACATTTTAGATGAGCAGCAGTTCTAGTTACTTAAAAAAAAAAAAAAGCCCTGCGTTAATTCTGAGTTGTTGCCTGCAAAACAATGTGACCAAACCAATATTCTGAGGATTCTTATTCAAAGAAAAGTGTATCATCACCTAATATGTTTGGTTTATTTTTTTTTAAATTTTTGGTAGATAATAGAGACAATATGATTAGTTCACTCTGAAACTTCAAGGGATAGGTTTATTAGAATATTTTCATTACAGCTGAGAATATTGAAGATAACAGTTTCTATCTATATTATTCTTGTATTAACACTAAATGTAACTTGTCATTTAGGATTGGGTATGGTGCTATCTGTCCTGCTTGTATGCAGAATCAGAACAATGGGCAGATTGTGGGAGTACTGTATTTAGATTTGCTACTTATGGTTTCCCAGTACTTACTATAGAAATGTGCAAGCAGTGCAATGAATTGGTAAAAGTATGTTAGGTCTGACAAACCTAAAAGCTAGATCAGTGTCTTAAATGATTAGTGCAAATGAGACTTTGAGAAAGATGAGATTCTAATAGGTGATAAACTTTAATGGTCCAAAGCTTTCTGTCTTATTTTATATATGTACATACCCATCAAATTGTTGCCTTAGGGGTAAGCTAAGTTATGTAAAGTGCAGAAATAATAAGAAATATTAAGCACAGAAATTAAAAGCAGGAAATAAGAGACAGGAAATGGAAATTTAAATCTAACGTACTAACCAACCCTCTGCATACCTTTCTATCCTTGCAAACCATGCTCACTTCTACCATTTCTATGCACCAGTTCATACACAGTCCTTTGTCCTTTAAGCTTATCATTCTTCTCCATCAACACCATCCAGCTACAATTTTCTCAGTCTTTCCCTTCATCTCAACCCATTCATGAACTTCCTAAGTGGTGGGATGAAGCAATATGTTGGCTGGCAATGTAGTCTTTAAATATCCTATCTTGCATAGAATCAGGTGAGAACACATGGGGTAAAATTGGGTACTGGTTACCAAAATCTGCCAAAACCGACCTGTTGTGTCCTTATCATTAGCAGGGAATGCTACATGTGACATAAGTACTACTAAGGCTCATAATTTACTCTATATTATTAAATGCATTATGTCTTATTTGATTTTAATAAAAATAATGAAGTGGATTAAAAATACTATTGTAAAATTGTTAGTTATGCTCAGCAAAGATGTTAAATTTGTTTCCTGTTCAATCATGATGTAATAAGGCAGTCTGTTTTCTTTTTAAAACACTTCTTATCCCCTATTGACATGGAAGAGATATAACTCAAGTAATGGAGGGTGGGGATGTGCGCCTAGATTCAGGTGCATTATCTAGACCTGCTAACAGAGGACCACAGTGGTCTTTACTAACAGAAATGCAGTTGGTCTCTGAAATGCACTCAAATGTTTTCCAGAGCTATATGTAGGAGAAAGCATTTATATGGAAAGCAGTTTTTCAAGGAAGAATATTATTGAAAAAATACTGTTCAGTACTAGTAACAAAGACTCCTAATATGAATTGATGATTCATTTGTTTGCCAAGCAAATGTCCCAGTAGAGCAAAAAGGGTAGATTGCGTTAAGCTCTGCATGTGATCAAATGGTTTGCCTTAAGATAAATCACTGATCAGAGCAATTATATTTTCTCAATTTAATCCAGCTTTCGTGATGTTGGAGTAATTCCAGTGATTTCAGGAAAATTTACTACAATACGACTAAAGTCTGAACACAACCCATTATAAACACTAAATGGTCTATAATCTGGTGAAACCAGAAGGAAACAAGATATTTCTTTGCATAAGACAATAGAGGAAACCAAAATTGGTTTTAAGATAAATTTGTGTTTTCATATTTCCCTTGATATAGTTTATGATACAAATTATTTATAACATATGAACTTAATTGTGTATCTAGTTCTGTGTGACTTATACAATTGTCTCAACAACTAGATCGTATGCCTAAATATGCAACATCCAACGTCTGCAATGTAAGTATCTTCTGGTTTCCAATTTGCATTTCCATATTAATGTAGCATAGAAAATACTTGAAATTCTTCAAAGATCTTATGAATATAACTGTGAGATTTCAAACTCTTGGTTATTTTAAGCCTGAATTACAGGGCAGACACACTTTTTCACTATTTTGAGTTAGAGGAAAGTCCTGAAAATACACATTAAGATTAGCATAGGACAACTCAGTTACAAACTTCAAAAATCCCAAGCAATTGGTTTTAGAAAGGCAGTAAACAGATTTCTATTTATGTAATATTTAGTTATAGGTTTTGTGCTTTTATGATAAGAAACCAAGAATAGGAATCAACATTTTGTAAAGTCTTGAATTTTCATAAGGAGTAGAACCACCACAGTTTAAGAAATAACTTTTACATTTCTTGTTTATAACAGAGAATTTAAAGAAAGTATAAATTACAGCCTTTTAATTGCAGACAAAATAATTTGCATACAGATACTTAAAATAACAAACATGTTTTGAATTTAAGAGCCCAGAGGACTAACTGATAAAAATTCTTGCTAAACTTAAGAAAACTGGGGCCAGATCCAATAACATGAGCAGATTTCCATTAAGATAATTTAGAATGTTTTCCATCTGCTGCCCCAAAAGCTATGGAGGTTCTTTAAACTCCTTTCAGGAAATTCTTAAGAGAGGCAATTTGGTCTGCCAATAAAGACATTTCTACTGGTAAAAGGACAGTGTTAAATAAACCCTTTGATGCCATTTTTCTTCACCAGCAAGTTTTAATTTTAGGACAACAAAGTTGATGGTAGATGACTGGAATATGCTCATAACATTCAACTCTACAATATACCTGAAAACTAATTTATCCGACATAATTTATACTTATATACTGTACTTTCATCTATTCTCACTAGATCAATCAATCAATAGCATTTTATGCTACTACTAAAACATCATAAAGAGCTCAGATATATGTTTATATGCTTTTTTGATGGTTTTAGCTAAGAGCATTGGCAATCCTGCTTTAGTAACCTACTACTGAAAAAACAATTATGTAACATTATTCCAGCAATATTAAACATGAAACTGCCAGAAATAAAAGCTAAAACTTACATTTACATTCTACCATTTTTATGTAATATTGGTGAAATAGTTGCTTTTTAGTCTTATAATATCTATTAAAATATACAAGAAAACAGAATAGTGGTGCTTACTGGAAAGGCTATTTCTGGTTTGATATGTGGAAGAGCAAAGGCGGATAACTTATAATTTTTGCACAGAAACAGAAAATTGCATGAGGGTTACTTTCCCCTACTACAACTTTTCCTAAGAAACTTCTCTCAAGTTCCATACAGTAGTCATTCTTGAGCCAGAAAAATTGAACTGTAATTAAATAATGTAATACAAAATTGAGCTATGATCTAAGCAGTCACAACCTATTTTGGTGCAATGTTGAATCCTCCTGGTTACTGTTGTGTATGTGAAAATCAAGGATATTATCTTGGTTAATTCACACATCTGACTAGAAGGAATCAGACATTTCATTTTCTTTATGCATTGAATATAACTAAGTTGGGGCAAGTAAAAACTAACCAATATTGTGGATGAGCTAAATGGCTATACTATGATAGTCATTTGAACTATTATTAATAATTCAAGAGGAAGAAGTTGGTAGTTTTCAGAAGGCTGTGCAACTTACCAAAATGAAAGGTATAATGAAGACAACAACAACAAAATCTCCTAAAAAACAGATAAAAACGAAGCGGACAAAACACTAGCTACAAAACAATGAAAAAAAGATAGATATTTGTCTTTAATGGAATCTTATGGCTTTCCTCCCTTCAAGTCCTGCTGTGCTACCTCATCGGGGCAGGTGCCTCATCTGGGTGGGATGAACAAAAAACCCCAGGTGTGTATACAAGAGTAAATATTCCCAGCTGGGTTGTCCAAGGTGTGAAAATCATTCCAGCTGCACAGCCAAAGCAAGCAGCCACCTACATGGGGCAGCACCGATATAGGAAGATGCTGGATGCAGATGGATGGGAGAAGGGAATGGTATACTGCCCCTGTATTTTTACCAAGGAAACCACATGGATAGAAAATATAAAATGACTGACAATATAGTGCCAGATAATGGGCACCTCAAGTCAGGTGGCACTCAACATGCTACTGAGGAAAAGCTGAAGATCTTTCAAAGTACTAATGGTGTTTACAATGTGGTTAGATTACAGCCTCCAGGACATTGGATAGTTGTTGATGTTGCCATAAAGGAAAAGAAAATCGGAAGCTGCAAAGACAGAATTGCAGTGGGAATATGGAATGTAAGAAGCATGAATATGGGAAAGCTCAAGAATGAAATGAAAGATGAAACAACTACACATTAACATCATAAGCATCAGTGAATTGAGATGGACTGGAATTCGACATTTTCAATCAGAAGATCATACTGTTTATTACTCAGAACATGAAAAACAATGCTGCTGTTGCTTTTATAGTCAGGAAGGGTATAGCAAGAACAATCCTTGACTACAATGCTGTCAATGACCAAATAATATCAATTTAGACTTTGTGGACAACCCTTCAAGTTTATATCCCAATCACCAATGCAGCAGAAAAGGAGATTCATGAGTTTTATGATAAAATTCAATTTGAAATTGACAGAACATGGAAGCAAAACGTGCTGCTTGTGACTGGAGACTGATTTTCCAGTGTGAATGCCAATGTTGGAAAATTAAGGAGGAAGCTGTTGTTGGATCTAATGGTTTCAAAGACCAAAATAAAGCAGGAGAATTACTTATCAATTTTGGCCACTCCAATGATTTATTCATAGCTAACACCATCTTCAAAACCCAACACCTATAGACATGGGCATCACCAGAAGGAGTACATTGAAATAAAATTGACTATATTATTGCTAAAAGGAGGTGGAGGAGCTCACTTATAGCTTCAAAGACATGGCTAGATCCTGACTGTGGAACAGATCATGAACTGCTCATGCACGAATTCCAAGTTATGCTAAAGGAGAAGAAAGCCAACCAGTTTCCACAATATGATCTTCACCATATATCTATCATTTTTAAGGGGAACATGAGGAATCACTTTAAAGTCCTGAACCTCATTGATAGAGGACCAGAGAAACCGTGGAATGAACTTAAAGACATTGTTAAGGATGAATGTGAAAAGAGACTGCCAAAGATGAAGAAACAGATGAAAGCAAATTGGATGTTAGAGCAAACTGTGGAAGACAAAAATCTCAGAAAGGTACTCAAGAGTTTCAGAAGAGACAAGAAGCAGTATTACAATATCTCTAAAGACATTGAAGATGGAAACAGACATGGAAAAACAAGTGTTCCAAAAGATCTCTGAACTCAGAAAGAGGTTCCAACCTCGAACTGGTATGCTAAAGGACACCAATAGGCAAATAGTAACTGATTCAAAGAAGATCAAAGACAGAAGGACTATACTGAAATACTGTACCGTAATGCTGAGAAAGCTGGAAGGAGACAAGAAGATGCCCAGAAACAAGGTGGATGGACTGTTACAGCAGCAACAGGTGCACTGATGGAAAACCTGAAGAACCTGGTTGGGGACAGACTGTCATGGAAAAAATCTATGTGGTCACTAAGAGTCAACACTGACTTGATGGCAATCAGTGGCTTCCCATATGTGATTAATCTACTTCCATTTGTAGATCTGGTGAAGACCTGCTCAGAAGCTTCACAACTGCGCCTTGGGGACAAGGGAGGTATTTACCATCTCAACTTGCCACTTAATTTTAAAAAGGTCCTCTTTCCCTGTAGCTAATTGTAGCCATTTCTGGATGGAAGATTGGCCTTTGCATTAGTAATTCTCTTACAAAGGAACTCAATATTTGCTTGTTACAAGGTGTATTATTTAAATAATAATTTCCAAGACTTCCTGGTAAAGCTTTGCACTATAATGCAAGGCCTTCACCAGGACACTGAAGAGTAGATCCAGAACCAGCTGTAAACATTTGCTCATGTAGATAAAATGCTAGGATTCACCTCAATTTAGATACCAACATTCACATTGCACAAAAATTGGGGAAAGAAAGGTAGATGTAATCTTGACAAATAGTTCAATAGTTTTCAATTATTTGCATTTTGTTGGTTGAAGATCGGGATAGAGTACCTGGAGAAGTGAAGAGACTGTTTATTCTATCCTCTTTCCTGATAGATCAAATTGGCTTGGTGAGATTGGCTTTGTAATTAAGATAAATAATTTCTCTTTTCAGGAAGGATCTGCCCCACCTTGATTAAAAGTTGTAGCAATTTGACCTCCCTTCTCCACAGAAGTTATTTAGCCTAGCAGCCTTGAAAAATTATAGATTAACCTCCATTTTATCACTGTTGGCTAAGAAGGTTCAGAAGGAACTCCAGAAATATATAGAAGGTACTTATTATCTGGACCCAAACTGGAGAAAGGCATGTGGTTTAAAATACCTCCTCCTTTATCAAACTGAAGAGGAATATAAAAAGGAAAAAGAAAAAAAAAAGCAGAAGCAATAGTCTAGATGACCCCCCCCCCCCA